GGGAATTTGTAAAATAATTGATTATGACTAAAATAAGTATTTATTTATGACACGTATATATATAATATTGTTTGTACGGTAATAATACATAGAAATCAACAAAATTTATTTTCTGGTAATATATGTAGTTAAAGCATTTATTTAGTCAAGAAAAATTGAAGTGCAAATTTCAATAAAATTATAATATAATTAATTGTTTATATGACATAAATATTTTTTTGTTGATAAATCATGCATAGGAATTGATAAAATTTATTACGATATATTAAATGTGGACCTATAAAACAAATACTTATTATAAAAATATTTTTACAAAAATATGTTCACTGTTAGACCTATAAAACAAATTTTTTACCCCATTAGAAGATTATTATGATTAATTTGATTGAAAATAAATACATTATTTTTTTTTAAGTTTGAAAATTGTTTTAAAAAAGTAATTTAGTATTTGTCAAGTCAAAGTGTACATTATCACATTAAGAAAAAAAAAAGATAGAGAAATATTAGGAGCTGGGCACGCATCCCTAATACATAAAACAAAAACTTATGTATTAATTGTTCCCAAATTTAATACTAAGTGGAAATTTAATGCAAATTTAAGAGGAGATTAGTTATTAAATAATGTGCAAATTTTTAATACATATTTTGGGCGGGAATTTGCAGCTGCTTTGCTTTAATATATATATAGATTCACAAACATATTTAGAGCTTTAAATTTATTATATCTTTTAGACTCCAAAATGTCTGTCAACCATTTTTCAGGTCCCAAATCTATAATTTACTCATCTTTCGTAACACGCAACTCTGAAAATGAAGTTAAAAACCTTTGAAGCATGAAGTTTTCACAAAGCTAATATTCCACAAATTGCAGCACAAAAAGAGTACAGAATTTATAGCCCTAGCTAATGTCTAAAATAGAACACAAAAACAAAAGAAACCCCTTAAAAGTCATCACACAAGTACCTATCAAGTTCCACAAAACTTACAAGTTTCAATAACCAAATCAATTACAAAAGAATGAATGGATCTTCATCTTCATCTTCTTCTTCCCGATATCTCATCATTCATCGGGCAAACCAATTTACAGCCATCATACAAATTATTAAACCATCATGCCACACAAACGAAACCTATTTTATATACTGCGACATCCATTTGAAGCCATCACCGTATCCCATTTTCCGAACAATGCTGCACATGAACACTTCCAAAGGGCGCACGTTTGAATCAGAAAGGTTGACTTTCCCTTTTCCGGTGGTCACGCCAGCTAGACCGAGGTGATAACGCAGCTCGTCTTCCGAGGCAGCATATGGAATGTCGATCTTGTTTCCAAGAATGAGAAACGGGACATTTGAAAGGGATTCGTCAGAAAGGAGCGCGTCTAATTCCTTTTTGGATTCTGCAAAACGCTCCTTGTCATAAGAGTCGACCAGGTAAACCACAGCATCAACCTGCAAATCCCAAAGGGGCAAATGTGGAAAGTGCCAAAAGAATACACGAAAGGGCATTTTTTTCCTTTTGGCAGGTATGCTTCCAATGAATATATATATATATACAGTTCGAAAAGCTTGGATATACAGATATTGAAATCCAACGGTTGGACTAAAAAATCCAGAAATGCTGTGAGCTGTTCATGCTTCACGAGTAGTATGTGTTTATGAAGAGAAAATAAAATAGTACAAGCATTTTGTAGAAATTTAATAAGGAAGAGACTGGTTAAATCCAAGAAAGCAAAAGAGAGGTGTTGGACAAACTAGGATCAATCTCACAAGTTATAAAAACATACATCACTTCAGTGTTTGTGGTAAACTACACAAAGTGAGTAACGGAAAGGAAAAGGATCGGACACAAACCTTTATTGTGATCAATGAAAGTACATGTACCATATAATTCATAGAACAAGAAGGTTACAAAAAAAAAAAGGTTTTCCCCAACCTTTGTTCTGAAGCAGAAGCATATACACATAGTACTCCATTGTCAACACTTAGAACTCCCGGCTAAAAAATATATGGCAAGAGATATAGATACGTACATTTCAATATTTCATTGTAAAGTATTCTTTCAGGTTTCATCTTTGGAAGTTATCATCCATCGTTCTATTATAGACAGCGAAGAAACTCCATCCAAATCAAACAAAACCCCAACAAAATGGTTGCAAACACAGTAAGACCATTGTTAGGCAGGTACAAAGTTTGATGGCCATACTTTTACAATATATTTACATACTTTCAAACTGAAATGTCATACTCTAAAAAACAACATAAACAAATGTATGACATTCCACAACATACGTATGCATTTTTGCTTAAAAGTAGGTGTAAAGTGTCGACCAGCCCAACGGTTAGGCCACCTCACAAAAGAATTTGTGTTGAAAAAAATCATTCTCCAAGAATTAGCACGAACAAGCACAGAAAAATGATGTAATCCATAAACACAGATTCAGCTTTCTTCCTACATATCACAGCATCAACAATCAAAACACGATACAATCACGACAAGAGCAAACTCATAATCAGAAACGCCTACGCAACAAACAAGCTAGTCGAAATCAAATACCTTGGCATAATAATCCTTCCAAACCCTACGGGCGATCTGATGGCCTCCCAAATCAAACGCCTTGAACTTAATCTTTCCGATGCTCAGCTCCTCCGAGGTCGGATATTGCGTCGGCTGATGCTGTATTAACCTCTGCGGCCAAATCGAAACTCCGATAATACAATCAATTCACAGAGATCCACTCAACATAACAAAGTATCAAAAAACAATTATCAATTCTATATAAAAAATAACCTCGTCCTTGAGCATGTGCAGGAGCGTGGTTTTGCCGGCATTGTCAAGGCCGAGGAACAAGATCTTAGCTTCTTTCTGCCATAGCCCGAGGGAAGCCAATACGCCGTAAAACCAATCAAGTAAAAACATTCTTTGGTTGGATCGATTTTGGATTGAAGTTCTTCTAGATCTGAACTGGAATTGTTTCTTTGTTTCTTATTTTTATTTTTTTTACTTTTTTTATTTTTTTGGGTGTTACTGGTTTTCCAGTGAGGTGTGGGGAGAGAAGAATCTCTGGTGGAGTGAGTCCAGAGCCAATGGCTCAATTCAATTAATCAATTGGGCTCTTTTAGATTAAAAGTAAATTGAGTGGGAAATGTGATATTTTGTAAGAGATAATAAGAAAAATGGTATATTCACTTGTGTGTCATTCACAAGAAGCCCAAGTTCATATACGGAATCGAGTGCCCAAGCCCTATTAAAAAGAGTATATACAGAAGCGCATCAATACAGGAAAAACCCAAATAAAGTTCAAATGAAGTTTCATCTCAAACCAATTGATGGAAGGAGGAGTAACCCATTAAACTTATAAATTAGACTTATTTTTTCTATAAACGATGTGAGACGACTCACAAGTGATATTATAACATTTGTGAAATCCTATACATTGAAGGTGAAAGTTACTTTAATGTAGTTTTCTAATAAGTTAGTCTTATTTTTTAATAAATATACAATACTTATTATGTAATTATATTTTATTATATTTCGATTACAATGACAAAGTGTATGTTTGGAAGCACTTTTGTAATGGACTTTTGACTATAAAAGTCCATTTCCAATATAAAAAGATGTTTGGTGTAAACAACAAAATGAACTTTTAAAAAAGTAACTCATACAAAAAGTCCATTTCAAAGAAGTTTATATTGAAGACTTCTTGAGAAGTCACTTTTCAAAAAGTCCATCTTGAAATGGACTTATCAATAAATGTTTCCAAACAAGCCCAAAGTAATCTCATGGTCCATCCCTTTTGTGCTAATAATCAGTTTTGAGCAAAACAGGCTCAAGAGATGTACTATCCAAATGAGACGGGAATATAACAACCGGGCCAGCCTCATGATAACGTCGGCCCAAAATACTCTTGAAACCCGGCCAACCAGGAGCTGGCCCTTTGACATTGCTAGACAGGGCATTGTCTGCCCTTTTTCTCCAAACGACAGCGTAATGGGCCCAATTCAGATTCTACTCTCACAAATTGTCGGCAATTTTGTGGCTAAGATTGTTTGTTTTTGTTTACTTTACTACAAAGATATGGTAAATTAAATTTGGGCTGGGCTCATGCAGTTTGTGTTACAGGCCATGAATTATAACGTTATTTGATTGTTACAGCCGCAAAAGGCCCAGTTACTTTTGGTACTGAGGATCATATATGTTACAATTGCGTAAATGATCCTGCAAAAAAGGAAAAAAAAATAGTCACTAGTCAGTGTAATTACGTAATAACCATGCTGAGTAGATATAAAACAATGCAAGTGCCTTTAAACTGTACTTAACCTCTAAGTGGACTTGCTATAAAGTGCTGTACAAAGGCTGCCTTGGATGGGGGCTCGATGAGACCTGCAAATGACAAGCTTTATGGTGTAATTAATAAATAAATAATATGTATATTCTGATGACTAAAGCTGTTAATTAAACGAAGTGGCTCGACTCGTTTGATAAACAAATCGAATTCGAGTTCATTTAGTTGATGATGTGAGTCGTTAGGGCTTCATGAACAGAGACTTTGACGCAATTTTTTTTAAACTTTTTAGGAGTTTTTGTTCTACAAGCTCCGAGTTCAACTCTTTCAAAAACTCAGACCAACTACTTAACAAAATAATCTTAAAATGTGAACATAAAAATAAGAGTGTGACTATGAAAAATATTATTTTGTGTTTGACTCTTGACTAAATTGTTCACATTGCTTGCGGTCAAAGGGATTGAAACTTTCTTTAAACGCTTCACAAAATTACTCAAAAAATAGTCAGAGAAGAATCCAAAGATGTGATGGCTTTGCTGTCCGTTTACTACTTCTTAAAAGGTCCAAATTTTGATGCTTCTCTTCCAACCAAAGTTATATGCTTGCAATTTCCTATTTAAATAATAACTAATTATATATTAGAAATGATATATGAATATGATTAATTATGATGTGTAATAGTCAATAGATGAGATTTAAGAAGTGAAATTATCCTTGTGCTTGTTTGATAAACGAGACGACTTGAACTGGCTCGTTTAATAAAGGAACAAAAGGCTATGTTAGAGCTCGACTAAGTTAAGTTCACGAAATTAATTTTGACCCTGCTTGATTCGACTCGTTTAACAAATAGTAGTACCTATGAGCTGTTCGCGAATCTATTAGACTCGATTATGCTATTCATAATGAAATAAGCACATGAACTTTTGTACACCCTTCACCCTTAGTTTGATAAAAAGCAAAACCCAATAAGGCTGGCAAATTTTAAATTGATTTATTATATTCCTAACTTCATCACATAACTTTTTTGTGGCTCGCCCCGCACGATTAGCGCACATGCTGCACGTGCACCCCACAGTACGTACTAATCCACTCATCCTCTGCTGCAAAGCCTATCTCAGAGTTTACATTAAATTAAACCCACTTAATTTTGATTGGTTAACAAAATTAATCCCTGCAGCACAAATAAATAAATAAATAAATAGTATCACAAAAATTAAATTTATGAGAAAATATAAGTAAGAGTATCTTTTGGAATTTATTTATTTTTTCAAATCGCAAAATTGCCTCCTTGTGAGCCAACATATGTATGTCTTTGAGAATGGGAGATAATTGAAAAGGATGTTAGATTAATTATAATAATCAGAAATTTTAGGGTAATAATTAATAGTAACTTCAGCTAGCCTTATATATATACTAACGGTTTTGCTATAAAGCCAACAGTTGGCTCCATAGTGGAGCCAACCTTCTATATACAATAAGTAAATTTACCATATTCGTTGATTACTTAAATAACACTAATATAATTTTATTAATATGGTAGGTTTAATAATAAAAATAAAATAATTAAGCTTCTACATAATATTCATTTATTGTGAAGTACTGCCTCATAATATTGTGACATAATTTCAAGTTGATTAGTCATTTCCTAGTCCTATTGGACTGATTTTTATTTTAATTTTTAATTTTTTTGGAACTATAGATTTTATTAAAAGAAGAGACTAAAAAAACACACAATTACTACTGTGCTGAAGTTATTATTATTATTTAATATATAGTTTTTGGGTGGGTATAATTGCAAATTTTGAGTTAGTACATGAGGTCCACATATCATTGAGTTAATGTCATGTTTATAACAGGAAATTATATAATGTGATGCTGGTTACAGCAACATAGCATTGGCTGGTTATCCCCCTATATATTAATACAGAATGCGCTGAGCCTACGTGGCTGCTTTTGGTGCTTCAGAATCCTATGTGGCAAAATTACATGCTTCGTTATTAGGCATGGGTAAATTTTAATTTAATTCCAAACAAAAAATAATTAGGTTCGGATTACCATAAATATGTTGATTATTTATGGTATGTTACATGTATTAATTGTATTTTAATATCATTCCTTATTATAACTATTGAATTGTATATATATTTTAAAAGTTAATAACTTTTGTATTTTTTATTAGTTTTACATATGTAATATATCAAATTAATCTTCTTTTGATAAGTTTCGATTTAACATCCATATTGTATGTATAAAAAAATAATTTATATTTATCTTTATAACAATAATAAAATTATTTTTATTATGAATTAGATAAATTAAATTATTTATCAACTAATATATTTATATTTCAAGTAGTTATATGATATAAGTTATAAAAACTAATATAATATAACACATGTAAGTCATAAGTAACACATATCATTATAAAATATATAGTAATATATTTTTTTTTGTAAAAAAGTAAACTAAATTTAATATAATTTTCTCATTAATTTTAAAATTTAAGAATAATTTTTTAACAAGCACCCGTGTAATACACGGGTATTGTACTAGTAGCTTATTATTAGACCTCAAATTGCAAAAAATAAAATAAATATAATATATAAATGTGTGGTTCTATCAACCTTAATATTTAAATAATATAAAAATAATTGTATTAATTAGTTGGAATTGAGATGTGGAATTAATGACAACAAGGCAAAGCATATATATATATATATATATATATAATGAAAAAATAAATAAAAATTGCATTATACCAATATTCTAATGGCAAGTTTATGCAATATTTGAACGTTACTCTGACTATATATTTTATTTAATTTATATTTTGAAATCTTGTGTTATAATCATAACTGTAGGGAATGCAGTATTATATAAATATGTATGATACCTGGCTCAATGAATATATAAAATTGCATGTAAATATATATATATATATAATAGAAATAAAAAATTGTATTTAATATAATTAATGGCATTTTTTTTTTTCTTTTCAAAATATTGATTGCCTAGCAACATGACCAAGCATGGAAAACATAGCATGTGTTTAGTGTGGGATGACCCCAATTACAATAATAATATGTACATGTAATGTCTAATGTTTTATTAAATGTTTACAAAACATCTATAGTTTTCCACACTTGTGTGGGGACAAAAGTACATTGCAAATAATAAACCAATTTGTGTTCACTTGAAAACATGTTAATTGCTTGAATATTTCTTGTGGACA